AGAGAGAGAGAGAGAGAGAGAGAGAGAGAGAGAGAGAGAGAGAGAGAGAGAGAGAGAGAGAGAGAGAGAGAGAGGAGAAGCATATATGTACGCTGGGACAGTCTGCCCAGAGGGAAACCAAGCTAAATTGGGAGGGAGGATAAAGAGTTGTTCAGCTCCCCCATTTCCTCTTCCTCTTCCTGACCTCTTTAAAAAAAAAATGCATCTGTCTCAGAAGTCCTTGTAACCTCCTGTCCTAGGGAAGCACCACTCAGCCGCTCCTGCCTTGGAGGTGGAACTAATTGGGGACAAGGTAGGTACAGAAAGGGTTTGAGAAAAAGTGACATCTAGGGAAAGCAGCACATAGGAAGAGAGAGGACTGGAAAGCAGGACCTGGGTCTGAGTCCAGCCTGGGCTACGTAGCGTGAGTTCCAGGCTAGTCAGGGCTACACAGCGATACTCTACCTCAAAATCAAATAAAAATGTATGCTAGCCAGGCAAGGTAGGACATGCCTGTAGCCCTAGCACTGGGGAGAGAATAACAGAAGGATCAGGAGTGAGAGCTAGCCTTGACTACGAGACATGTTTCTGTTTTAAAAGGGAGGGGAGGGCTTGCTATTGCCATCAGCCATATTTTTGGCCATATTTCTATTGGAATTGATCTAACAAAAACCTTTGTATATGCCTCGTGTCAGAAAGTTGGCACTCCTATTTGGGAGATGGGAAGATCACTGCTAACTCTTCTTGAGGACCTGGGTTTAATTACCAGCATCAGCATGGTAGCTCACAACCATCTCAAATTCCAGTCCCAGGGGAGCTAATGCCCTTTCTGGGCCTCCTCGGGCACCAGGCATCATGGGATGCACAGACATACATGCAAGCAAAACATGCACATAAAATAAGTAAGTAAATTTAAAACACAAAGCTCCAAACAAAAACCAAAAAAGAAATTGAGGTGTTGCTCAGTGGGAGAGTGCTTACCTAGCATGCGTGAAACTGGGTTTTCAGTCCCCAGCAGTGCCAGAAAGAAAGGCGGGGAGGCAGGCACTTTAGGATAGTCAAGAGGAAGAAGTCAGAACTGTGGAGAAAGTATCGTTGAAAGATAACTTTAGGCCAAGGGTTGGAAGTTAGTCCATTTACCTGGCTACCGAAGAAAGTGTTTCCCTGTGGACTGGACTGGGAGGTGGGAAAGGAAAGCCAGTAGCAGAAGGGGACAGGTTGACACTGACCGAGCCTCGGGATGTTCTCAGCTCAGGACACAACCACAGAGTCAGAATGACAGCCCAATATGGAACCAAATCCTCACCTTCCAGATTCAGGTATGGCTGCTCCATCACATCCTTCTTCCCCTTCCTCAAATTCAAAAGGGAAATTCTGGGGTTAGTGTTGGTGTGGATGGAGGCTGGGGCCACTGAGCTCAGCAAAGGAGGCTCTGTCTGGTAGAAAACACGAGGGAGCCCAGAATATGCTACTCAATCCAGCAGAGAACAACCTAATTCTAATTAGTACAACTTAATTTTAGAAATGTAGATGTGCCCTTTCACCTACATTAAAAAAAAAAAAAACAAAACAGGCTGGCTGGAGAGATGGCTCAGAGGTTAAGAGCATTGCCTGCTCTTCCAAAGGTCCTGAGTTCAATTCCCAGCAACCACATGGTGGCTCACAACCGTCTGTAATGAGGTCTGGTGCCCTCTTCTGGCCTTCAGGCATACACCCAGAAAGAAAGAATATTGTATACACAATAAATAAATAAATAAATAAATAAATAAATAAATAAATAAATAAGAAAACAGGCATGGGCTGGAGAGATGGCTCAGTGGTTAAGAGCACATGTTGCTCTTGCAGAGGACCTGGGCTCAGTCTCCAGCACCTGCATGGCACTTGTGTATGTGTGTGTGGGCATGCGTGTGCCAGGGTGCATGTGTGGCGGTCAAACAACAACTTGAGGGACTTGGTTCTTCACTCACACGGGAGGCTCCAAGAGGCTGAACTTAGGGGGTGGGACTTGCACAGCCACCCTTCCACCCACGGCCTTCTCACCAGCCCCGGCCCTAAAGTATAAACACACAGGGGTCTGTGTTGATATCAAGAATACAAAATGGACTAGAGAGATGGCTCTGTGGTTAAGAACTCCCTGTCAGTATTGGAGAGGACCCGGGTTCAGTTCCCAGTACCTATGTGGAGGCTCACAACAATTGGTAACTTCGGTTCCAGGAGATCAAATGCCCTCTCCCGACTTCCATGGACACTGGGCATACGTGTGGTATACTTACACAGACACAGGCAAACACTCATAGACACAAAATAAATCTTAAAAATAAAATGAATACATCTCAGGGCCTTGCCAGCCATTCTTATAAGTGGGAAGCCTGAGCCAGGCAATGGTGACGTGAGCCAGGCAATGGTGGCATGTGCCTGTAATCCCAGCACTCGGGAGGCAGAGGCAGACAGATCTCTGTGAGTTCGAGGCCAGGTTGGTCTACAATGCGAGTTCCAGGACAGCCAGAGCTACACAGAGAAATCCTGTCTCTGAAAAATAAAGTAAGTGGGAAACCTGGAAACCAAAAGGACCCCAGCACAGTGACAAATTCAGTTTGTTGGGGATCATATAGGAACTGAGGCAGACCTTCCCAACTGCTTGCACAGTCCCCCCGAGGACCACACCATGCCATTATACCTGTGTCCCCTTCCTTTCTTTGCAGCTGCCGTGCCTCTCATCCTACATCAAGTTCAGAGTCGTGGACTGGTGAGCAAATGGAGTAGAGGTAGACCCGCGCTCTGGGGAGGAGGAGGCAGAGCTGAGCCAGGAACTCAGCCTGCAGTGTGTTTTTCAGCTCCAAACGTGATTGCTGGGACGAGATTGGGTCTGCCAGCTTGTGCCTCAACCAGATCTCATCCACTGGAGAGGAGATCCAAGGCAAGCAGAGCCTGGGCCCCTCCCTGGGCACCTCTCCCACCTGAGCCCCTGATGCTCTTCTCATTCTCTCTCTCCTTCCAGGAATGTACTCCGGCTTCCTGCCCTGCTTTGGCCCCAGCTTCCTGACTCTCCGTGGGGGTAAAAAGGCCCGTTTTAGGTCCCCAGAGGAAGGCACTGTAAGTGTTTCCTGTCAACTTTGGGGGGACAGTAGAGGGAAAGTTGACTGTGTGTGAAGCAAGCCTGGCTTGAACATGTCCAGGGAGGACTCTGTCTGGCCTCTGTCCATCTCCTACTAGGAAAGGATGGACATGGGTACAGAAATAATCATAACCATAATATATGCAAGGGTGGCTGGAGAGATGGCCCAGAGGTTAAGAGCACTGGCTGCTCTTCCAGGGGTCCTGAGTTCAATTCCCAGCAACCATATAGTGAATTACAACCATCTATAATGAGATCTTGGTATCCTCTCCTCTCCAGGCATGCAGGCATACATTCAGAGAGAACACTGTAATATATATATAATATATATTACAATATTATTATATATATATATATATATATATATATTACAAAGGTCATAAGGCCTGGTACCAGAAAAGGACAAATGGGGTGCCCTAGATGGTCACTGAGGTAGGGCTCTTAAGATGAAACCTTGGCAAGGTTTCCCACAGGTAGGGAAGACACACTGGGTTAAAAAAAGAAAAAAAAAGTGCATGGTTGCTCAAGACTGTTGATTACCCAGATGGTGGTGGTCACGCCTTTAATCTTAACACTCAGGAGGCAGAGGCAGGTGGATCTCTGAGTTCGAGGCCAGCCTGGTCTACAAGAGCTAGTTCTAGGACAGGCACCAAAGTTACAGAGAAATCCTGTCTCAAAACAAAACAAACAAACAAAAAAGACTGTTGATTAATGCTGGAAACCCAACTCAGATTTCATCTTAGTCAAGAATGGGAGCTCTCAGGAGGTTAGTACAAGAAGATTATGAGTTTGAAACTAGCTAGGCTACATAGTAGTTCCTTCTCTTAAAAAAAAAAAAAAAGATGGGGGCTTGGAAGGTGGTCCAAGCCGTACAGATGCTTACTAACACACCAGACGGCCTGAGCTCAGTCCTGGAACCCACAGAGTGGAAGGGGAGACTCCCGAAAGTGGTCCTCTGACCTCCACTCTTCATGCCATAGCATGCCCCACCCCTCAACGCTTAAGTAAAAATTAAATTAAATAAATAAAAGGAAAAGGGTGTGAGAGCTTAATGAGGCTGTCAGAGAGTTTGTGAGGAACCCTTCACTGTCAGAATCTCTGCCCCCCCCCTTCCCTGCCACTCTATGGGTAACTTCTCAGTCGCTGTATCTTGCCACAGTCAGTTCTTGCTGGGAATCTGCCCACAGGCCAGGGAAACACTCTGGTTGGCCTCGTTTGGCCTCTGTGTTCTTCTTGGAGCAATCATTTCAGCAAGGAGACAGAGCATGGCTTGGTTAGCCAGGCTGGGAACACTCACTCTGATGATTGCCCTCCCTCCCCTCCAAGGCCTGGGCATGTGTGTAGTTCAAAATCCTTCAGGTCACTTGGCAGGCAAAGTGCATGAAGAAGGAAGAGCGGGTGGGAAGAATGCAGAGGCGGGGTCAGGACTCAGAGACATTTTGGTTAC